CTCAGCCGTGTCCTGCCAGGTCTGGCACTCAGTGCATCCAGGGTATCCCCTGACACAGCCAGTCAGGGCTGACCACAGCCCAGCCGCACGGGGCCACCAGACCGTCTGAACCAGAGCGTCTCCTCACGTGGCTAGTGCTCAGAGCTAAGTCTCCCCACCTGTGCTCCAAGGCTGGGGTCAGGTCCGGCTGTTCCATGCAGACACCAAGGAATGGGGACTCTCCTTCACTCTCCTCTTGCCAGTAAATGAACACCTCAGGCTGCTTCCCTGAGGTGGCAGGGCTCTCCTGCCCCATGCCCTGGGAGCTATGTCAAGTTGGCTAAGTGCCCTCCAGTCAAAGGCTCAGTTCTTTGTTAACCTACTGTCCTCTCCCTGTCACCTGGCTTTTAGGCTGAGGGTACCATGCATCTTTCTGCATCTCCCTGAGTCCTGACTGTCCCCTCGGGCTCTGTCCCAGTGCCCCCAGGACTCCCGGCTCCTGAGCAGCAGGACCAACCACCATGGAGGCCTAGAAGCAGATCTCAGCTCCGCAGAAGCACTGCCACTGGGGCTGCGCAAGGTCAGCCTGCCCAGCACTCTCACAGCTCAACCTGCCTAGGAGCCAGAGGGGTGTGGAGCCCAGGAATCCCGAAAGGTTGGAAAACTGGGAGGAGGGGGCAGCTCCTCACACTGGGGAAAGCTACGGGCTGAGACAGCGGGGCTGCATCAGGACACACGGTGTGCAGACGTGCGCACTGCGCATTCCTGGGGAGCCGTCCCGTCAGAAGCTGGCCGTGGCGTCTGCAGCTTGAGCAAGAGGTCTGGGCTGCAGACAGGAATCTGGCAGGACTCAGACAACCCAAATAAATGTGAGCCAGGGGTAGGGCCTTGGTGCCCACTCAGCACACACTGGCAGCAGACACAGCCTGTTCCAGGCAAACACAAACCCCGCCTTGCACTCACCGTGACACAGGATGTGGTCCTGCCCTGACACCCTCTGTCCCTGGCAGCTATTCGCTAGTGTTCCATGCCAGCACTGCAGCTTAAGAGGAATGTGGAGAATTTAGACAGAGCCTGGGGAAAGGCCAGCCACAGGAGGAAACAAACAGCAAAGCTTCAAGGACTCAGGTCGCTTGACCATGGAGGGTTACAGCAACTGGCCACCTCTGCTCCAGCAGCAGCGCTCCTTGCAAACAACAGGCTGGCTTCAGGTCAAGCAAAATAAAAGGGAGGGAGCTTCCATGGCAGTGCGAGATTCTCAGATCATTAAGGAAACGGGGCTCAGCACGATGGCTCAGTGGCTAAATCCTCTCCCTGCAAGCGTCGGGATCCCAAATGGGTGCCAGCTCATGTCCCAGCGGCCCCACTTCCCACCCAGCTCCCTGTCTATGGCCTGGGAAAGCAGCAGACGACAGCCCAAAGCCCTGGGACCCTGCACCCCCAGGAAGCTCCTGGCTCCTGGCTTCAAGACAGTTCAGCTCTGGCCATTGTAGCTGCTTGGGGAATGAACCAACGGATGAAAGATCCTTCTCTCATAAACCTGATCTGCCTTTCCAATAAATAAATAAAATAAATCATTTTTAAAAGAGAGAGAGAAATAAATGAATCAGACAGGAGACTAACACCCAGCCGTCTGGGACCTGGTCCGACAGCCCTGCACTGCGGTGCACACGCAGACCTCGGTGGTATAAGCTCTCCTTAGCAGTGACAGTACACGCTGAAGGCTCAGGCCAGCCTGCAGGGCAATGCCACCCCATGGTCTGCACGTGGGTTCTGGGCCCATGCTCTACAAAGTGGATCCAACTTTCCAGCTTCTCCTCTGATGAGGAAAGGGATCCTGGGATCTCTTCCCAGGTCTTTCAAAAAGTAGCAGAAATTCTTGGCTGTCATGCCTATTTTCACAAACTAGATTGACTGCCAGCAGAGGGGAGGGATGGCAGTGGAAGCCTGCCAGGCCCCTCCAAGCAGCTAGCCTAGTTCTGTGCCAGCTCCCCCATCCTGTAACAAAACAGACTCACCCTCCTGAGACCAACACACTGAAGCCTAGCAAGTTAACGTAGTACATCTCACTCTGGGGTCACACACTGTGGGATTCAACAGAAGCAGAGACTTCTAAAGAAACCAGTGAGGGCTCCTGTGCAGACTGGGCTGCCAGGTGTGAGGATTTGAGTGCTAGGAGCCAGGTACCCATCTCCACCTGTGATACAGAAAGAGCAGGCACAAGGTGTAATGGAGAGGGTCCCTGCCAGGACGCAAGGGCACAATCTCCAACGGGCCTGAGAGGGCCCAGCCGCTCACTGCAGTCAGCAAGAGTACGCAAAGCCCAGGGGCCAGGTAGACACGTCCGCCAAGGCCTGGGCACGCACTCAGGATTCAGCCTGGGGCTTGTGAAGCAGTGGGGTCCCTTCTCCTGGCCCACCCTCTTCTCCCAGGCAGAGAACTTGCTGGGTATGACGGAAGCTGTCACCATCAGACTGGGTAGCCCCGACATGGTGCACCGAGGACTCTCCTGGGGTGCCTTTCTCGGGGAAGCTCAGGCCACTGCCGAGTTGCTGGGGTCTGGGGCTGCCACATCCCTTTCCAAGGTGCTTCCTTCCTCAGAATGCTCTCACTCGAAGGCTCACTTCCGCTTTCCTCGCTGCTGACTGGCCCCAGTCATTGTCTCCATGAAGCCTGGGAACCCCAGGAGCAAAATGCTGCACCGGACATCCTGGCATCTGCCCCTGCCACCCACAGGGGGTGCACACCCAAGTCAGAACCAACCTACACACACCTGGCTTCTGGCAGTGAAGGGAGACCAGGCCAGGGTTTCAGCACAGGGTCTGTAATGCTAACAGGGCGGAGGGGGATGCCTGCTGGGTGCTGCCCACCCGAGACCAGCCACTTCCTTCTCAGCCCTGGCCATGGCTGTGTGGGGGATGGCCCCTGGGTCTCTGCCTGCTACCTGCTGGCTATGAGTCACGGTTTACCTGCCCATGATCTGAGCTACAGCTTCCAGCCATGCATGTGGAACGTGACCTGTGACATGACGAGATTCTAAAGGGATGGACGGAGCAAACACCAGCCTTCTCTCGGCAAGCAGGCAGCGTCCCTCCCTCCCTGTAAGCCCCTGCAGGACCCTAAGGAGACGGCCAGAAGCAGGAGTGACCAGCTCCTTCCCTGGGGCACAGGAAGACAGCCGTGAGTCCCTGAACCCCACAACACCGAGTGAGTCAGTGTAGACGCACACCGTGTCTGCACTGAAATCCCCCAAGTTACACTGTTCAACATAATCCCCAGACACAAACAGTTTTTTAAGAAGCTGATTCTCAATTTCATATGGAAAAACAAAGAACATAAAAATAAAGTAACTGTGAAAAACAGAACAAATTGGAGAACTGACACAACCTGGACTTAAGCTTCATCTTAGGTGCTAACACTGTGGCATCATAGTAGGCACAGCTTCTGCCTACAGCATTGGTGCAGGTTCAAATCCCAGCTGGTCCACTTCTGATTCAGCTCCCTGCTAGTGTGCTTGGGAAAGCAGTGGAGGACGGCCCAGACCCTTGTAACTCTGTCCATATGGGAGATCCAGAGAAGCTCCTGGCTCCTGGCTCTATAGCCTGCTCAGCCCTGGCCGTTGTGACCACTGGGGGAGTGAACCAGCAGGTGGATGGTCTCTCTTTAAAACAATCCAAAATCCAAAGACGTATACAGACTGTCAAGAACTGCAAACACTGTCATCTTTGAAATGGTCGGAGGCCCTGAGCAGGCGCCTTCCCAAGGGGAAGCGGCCAGCAATGCGCACGGTCAGCAGGCGATCGGCAGCAGAGAGGCCAGTACGGGCCTGCAGTGCGGGGCTCTGCCCGTGCAGAGGTGAGCTGGAACCAGGCTGGCCGCAGGGAGGCGATCTCACCAGCACACATGCCACCCCTCAGCCGCGTCCAGCCCCAGGACATGCACATGCAGAGAGCGCGCCGGCCACTGCAGCTGCTGCCGGCCCAGGGCTACACAGCACCACGGGAAACGAAGACTACTTCCCCGTGGAAGGCAGGCAGCGTGGCACTGGAAAGTGGGGAGCCGGGGAGAGAGGGCCCTTGGGGTGCAGAGCTCCTTCTGGGGTGACACTTGCTCCTGACTTGGACCTGGGCAGTGATTTCCAAAGTTGTCATTTATTCCAAAACTCATCATGTGCCTGCCTGAGCACCTCTGGTTTACTGCAGTCAGTCGCAGCCTAAGAAGTTACAGAACGAAGCTGAAGAGCACACCTCAAACTAAGTTATGCAAAACAAGAACGCCAATTCTCTGCATTTTATATCTAATTATTATTGCAGTGTTAAAATTATGATGAAATTGAGATAAAATCTCAGGTTAGATCAGGGAAAGGCTGAGAAAAAGGTGCAGGAGAGGCAGCTTTCCACACGACATTTTCAAACAGACACGTTTACACTCACACACCACACACACACCACACACACATCCCGGGCACACTCAGATGCACACCACGCATGCACTGACATACACATCACTCACACAGACACATGTACATATAGATCATGTTGCAGTGACACACATATGCACATACAAACTGCTCACACACAGGTGCATGGAAACATACCACACATTTGCACACCACTCACACACACAGAGACACACCATTCACACACATACTTTTACATACGTACATACACACCACTCAGACACACGCACACACTATGCACATGTGCACACACACAGTTACAACCCCCTTCAGAGCTGAGACCTCCCTGTTTCTCCTAACCCGCACCCCCCACCACAGGACTTTTCTGCCCACTCCTCAGAGCCACCCACCCCACACACTTGACTGTGCTGTTCCCAGGGAAGGGCTGGGTAGATGCTGCCCCCAGCTGTGCGTGGGAGACTTGCTGGTACTTCAGACAGCTACCACCCAGCACATGTCAAACAATGAGTCTCCCATCATCAGAAGTAGCGTCCTTAGGAACAGTCCCGTCCCTGCAGAGGAATGGGCACCCTAACCACCCAGGGTCCTGATGGCCCCTTACCACTCAAAAGCCACCACAGCAAGGGGATGAACCCTGGGCTCTCGCTGATGTACTTCAAGCCTTTCACATTGATGCTCACGTTGTACAGCGCCATCAGCATTAACCTGCAACGCAAAAGGAGACACACTGAAATGCTAGTCCAGCCACACTAAGCTGCACCTCAATACATCTGGTTCCAGCCCGGGGGTCTGATGCTGCAGTCCGGTTGAGGGATGTAGGCGCTACGGGGCCTGGGAGGTACTGTTTAGGTGAGGCCCTGGGAAATGGGGAACTCTGGCGGTGCTATCCCCTTCTGCAGACTCCCCCACACAGCCAAGAGACTCAAAGGCACACAGGCCCTCCCAGGAAACTGCACAGAGCAGTCACTGAGAGCTCTGTCATTACCAATCCTGCATTCAGGTCTCTGAGCCTCTCCAAGTTCAACTCCAACAGGCTCTGCAGTCGATGAGCACTGCACCCGCCACCCGAGGGGCCTTCGGCCACACAGGCCAGTCTGCACAGTCGCTAAGAGCCAGCAGGAGCAACAGGGCTTCACACACTGGCCAGCAAAGCAGAGTCTAACCGGGCAGGAACTGTGGGTGCAGGGTCCCATGGACTCGGACCATTCTCTATTGCTTTCCCAGGCCACAAGCAGGGAACCAGATGGGAAGTGGAACAGCTGAGACACAAACCAGCACCCATATGGGATCCTGGTATGTGCAAGTTGAGGATTTAACCACTAGGCTATCGCGCCTGGCCCAGCATGCCCATCATTTACAGGAATGTAACACAGTGGTGATGAGGTCATGGCAAACTGCACACTGCAACCCAGCAGGTGGAAGTACACACCACGGTGACTGGCCTGACAGCCCCACAAAGCTGCAATGTCACACCTTCCTCAGGGCAACTCCTGCAGGACCCTTCCCGAGGCAGGCAGGCACAGATGCCGAGCATCACGTTCACAGAGCACAAGCAGAAGACAGCCCACACGCCTGTCAGGGAAAGGATCACCTCACAGTGCATCTGCTTGAAATGAAGAACTCACAAGGAACTCAGCAAGTGTGTAACCACTCGTACACGGCCTGAACACCACCACTACCCACGCATAGCTGTGTCCTGTTTGCTCCCACCAACACGTATCTGAACACCTGAAAGGAAAATGAGGTTCCAGACAAGATGGGAGAGCAGGTATCAATTCCAAACTAGACACAGACAGGCAGAGCAGGGGAGATGACCAGAACTGGAAGAACCAGCAAACCATTAGTCTGCCTCCTTGGCCTTCCGGATCCCAGCCCACTCCCATCCCACTCCCAGCAGTGGCCCTGAGCCCAGTGTCAGGAGGCCTCCAGTTGAAGGGGATGAAGAGTGTCTCCTGGCAGTGAACGTGGTGGTATGGGTGCTGCGGGGCCACTCAGTCTCTACACGAGGGGACTACTCCTCTCCTTGACACCGTGTGAGCCCACGGGCAGCCCCACGGCACTGGCCAGGCCAGCAGGGTAAACGCCAGGACTGGTGCTGGGAAAGGGCATCCTGGAGACCTACTGGGCGGAAGGGAGGGACTCCACGCTGTAAGCCCATGTGTGCATGTGGGAAGCCCATCAGAAAGAGCCTCTCCAGGCCTCACACGTGAGGACACAGCCCCCTCGGGTCACACCGCCTCTGCCCAGCACACCTGGATGCACAGATGCGGTACTGGCCATGAAACGACACAGAGAGCACTGTTCGCTCACCACTCACAACCTTACTGCCATGAAAGGAAAAAATTATAATTTCCAATGGGGCTCAACAGGATTCAGACTCCTCTAACGTGTTCCCAAAATAGCCAGGAAAGACCCAAAGTACACCAAGCAATAGGGAGTTCTCGACCCAGGCGGGAAGAAACAGAGACATCCGACAGGATGCCCATAGATGCGGGCAGAATGTGCATGACTTGAAAATTAGTATAGGGTCCGGCATGGTAGCCTAGCGGCTCAAGTCCTCACCTTGAATGCACCGGGATCCCATGTGGGCACCGGTTCTAATCCTGGCAGCCTTGCCTCCCATCCAGCTCCCTGCTTGTGGCCTGGGAAAGCAGTCAAGGACGGCCCAAAGCCTGCACCCGTGAGGGGGACCTGGAAAAGGCTCTGGGTTCCTGGCTTCAGATCGGCGCAGCACCGGACATTGCAATCATTTGGGGAGTGAATCATTGGATGGAAGATCTTCCTCTCTGTCTCTCCTCCTCTCTGTATATCTGACTTTGCAATAAAAATAAATAAATCTTAAAAAGAAAAAGAAATGAAAAGAAAGTTAGCATGAAGCAATGCCCAGGCGGCAGGTGTCTGGCCCAGCTGCCGCGTCCGACCCTGGAGGGCAGCAGCGATGGTTCGCGTATTCGGGTCACCCACGGGGAGAGCTGCACTGGGTCCCCAGCTCCTGGCTCTGGCCTGCACCATATCAGCCACTGTGGACACCTGCAAGGTGAACCAGCACATGGGAGCAGTACAGCTCTCAAATAAATGAGTTCTTTTAAACTATCCCAGAAATTAAAACTAAACTCAGAATGAACAATACAACAGAGCCATTTTAATGGCTCTCCAATAACCCCTTCCCTGACCCTGGGATTGTAAACATATCACAGGTTTATGCTACCTGGAAAAGGAAATTCTAAGGATGCAATTACCAATCGACCAAGTTGACCAGGAGAAACTGACCCACATTTGCCTAATCTAAGCCCAGGAGCCCATAAAAGCAGTGTCATCTGGTAAGGAGCAGTGGAGGAAGCCTGAGGGATTCCAAGAGTGAGAAGGAGCCATGGAGCCACACTGGCCGACGATGGGGGCCCTGGGAGAGGGACACCGTCAGCACAGGACCTGACAGCCAACAAGGACACAGGGACTCGAGATGGGATGCGTCCAGCACCCCGGAAGCAGATCTCTCCCAGAGCCTAGGGAAGGATCCCTGAGAACCAGGCAAGCCTTCTCACATCATGGGCCCCAGAAACGTAAGACACCAGATGGGTGTTGTGTGGCAGCTGGGCGTCTAAGTGCACCTAGCGACCCTAACCTTGGGATCAGCATGACCCAGAAGCATCACACATTCTGTGCAGCTCACTGGATGCTCTAAGGAGGGAGACACTGCTCTGCAGTTTTCTGCAATACTGTGCAGTCAGGACACCATCTCAATTCTCCGGGCAATCTTCTGGTTTCTCTAGAACTGAAGTCAAAGTGCCCGAATCCTAAGCCACAGGCAGAGACACTGGCTTTCAGTGCGGCCCACCGTACACTTTGAGTCTGGTGCACTGTCCCGGCTTCAGGTCTCCCAGCAGCTGCAGGATGGTGTCCAACAGCACCCGGCTGGAGCTGACCAGGAATTCCCGTCCACATGCAACGGCTGCGATGTCTGCAAGAGAATGACCAAGCATGGCATCAAGGTCACATCAGGACCTAGAACCTAAGACAGGACATCTGCTGCCACCTCTCTCCTGAGATGCCTAACAAAAACCCAGATGGCCCTAAGACTTTAAAAGCCAGTGTCCTCAGGCCCGGCGCAATGGCCTAGCGGCTCAAGTCCTCGCCTTGAACACGCCAGGATCCCATATGGGTGCCGGTTTTAATCCCGACAGCTCCACTTCCCATCCAGCTCTCTGCTTGTGGCCTGGGAAAGCAGTCGAGGATGGGCCAAAGCCTTGGGACCCTGCACCCGTGTGGGAGACCTGGAGGAGGCTCCTGGCTCCTGGCTTTGGATCGGCTCAGCACCGGCCATTGCAGTCACTTGAGGAGTCAATCATCGGAGGGAAGATCTTCCTCTCTGTATCTCTCCCTCTCTGTATCTCCCCCTCTCTGTATATCTCACTTTCCAATAAAATAATAAACAAACAAACAAATAATGTCCTCACCATTTCTGCCAGGACAAGAGGTTAAAGTCAACCTGGGCCAAGGACCCACCGGTGTGCGCAAGATCTGCCACTGGGAGGAGACCAGAGAACGGAGCTTGGGGAACTCCTCTGTCAGGCTGCAGTCCCTGCAGGTGAGCTAAGAACCAAGGCAAGGAGTAGCCCAGACCAAGCCAGGTTACAGTACTGCTGGCATACATCTGAGTCAGGTCCGGGTGGGCCAGGCCAGCCAGTTCATAACATCCACTGGCAGATCCAAAAACCAGGATAAGGTGCAGGAGAGGCCAGGTCGGGCTGCATCACGAGCCAGTTCACACTGGGGCCAGGAAAGGGAGCTGAAATGCCCACTGCTGGATGCCAAGATGAGATGAGCCATGCCAGTCTGTGGATGGTGGGTGCCAGGTCTGTGAGCCCCTGGGACAGAGGGGCCTTCAGCCCATCTGTGAGGTGGGTTTTGGGACATGAGCCTTAGGGACAGAGGGTACTGTGGGACCTGGGTCATGTAGCCCAGGACTTTCAGCTTGAATGTGAGATTGATGTGGCATCTGTGAGCCCCAAGAGTGGAGGACCTAGTGGGGCTGGGTCTCCCAGTCCAGGTCACTCGGCCCACCTGCATGGTGGGTGCCAGATCCATGAGCCCCCAGGGTGGGGGCCCGGCAGAATCTGGGTTTCATGGCCCTGGGCCTTGGGCCCACCTGCACGTAGAGTGCCAGATCTGCGAGCCTCGGGGATGGGGGCTAAGAAGGGCCTGGTTCTCCTGGTCCAGGTCACTAGACATGCCTACATGGTGGGTGTTGGGTCCATGAGCCCCAGGGGTGGGGATCTGCTGGCCCTGGGTCTCCTGGCTCACGTCCTAGAAGCCACCTATGTGGTGGGCACTAGACCCGTGAGCCTCAGGGGTGGGGGATCCAACATGGCCCAGATCATCTGAGTCAGGTCCGTGATCTCAGCTAGGAGAACTGGCCTCCTCGGTGTAAAGGATGGAGTGCTGAACGGCAGACCATGGTGCACAGAGAGGACGTGGGAGCCCATTAGGACCTGCAGAGGACATCTGGTCCATAGCAGAGAATGGAGAACAGAACATGTGGGCAACTACCCCAGCCAACCAATGACGGCAAAAATCTGTGCAGCCAACTGGAAGAGATTCATCCATACACCGGCGAGACCAACAGCATTTCCACCTGGGTGGAGCCCTCGGGGCATGTGCCACACTGCGACCCTGGGCTGATGTCAGGTGGCCTTTCCCCAGCTCGGTACTGGGATGGTGGGGAGGCTGGGTATGGCCTATACCCTTATCTCCCCTCCCCCCAAAAATGGGAAGGAAAATTAGAAAGTTTGGAAACAACGATCACACTCATTTTCCCTAACCCTAGATCTTCCCACCCTGACCAACTATGTAAACATCATCCAAAATTTAAAAAGTGTCTCCCCGAGCCATGGCTGGGCTGAAATATCCAACAGCAAGAACCAGCTTGGGTCGAAGGCCGGTCAGGAAAAGAAAGCCATTGTTCCTGCTATGACAGGAGGTGAACTGAGTAGGGCTGGCTCATCGACCCATTGGTATGCGTGAAACCTGGCATTGGGAGAGGTTCTGATGGAGGAGCCTGGGCAACTCCTCTGGCAGGACACAGACCCGGCAGGTAAGCGCAAGAAACATGATAGGAAACAGCCCAGAAAAGGCCATGGAAAGTTACCCACTGGCATACAATTGGCAGGGGTCAGGGGGAAGACCAGGCTGAATCTGTCCACGTCATCCACTGGCAAATCCAAGCACCAGAACAGTGTGGGTCGAGCCTGGTTCGGTCGCAACAAAGACTAATGCACAATATGGAATGCCAAGGTGAGGCTGCCTGTACTGGAAATGACCGCAGTGCCCAACCAGCAAGCGTGAGAACAAGGGGGCAGAGCCGGTAGGGGAATAAGGGAGGGTTCCTTTGCTGGACAGCTACTTCCGCTGGAGAGTGTGAGCTGGGATGGGGGCAGACCAGACTAGGCAGAGCTACCACACCGGTGCGCCTCATGTGGATTAGATCAGGGAAAAGCCAGGGTGGGCTGATTATTCCTACTGGTGCAAACAAAATTAGAGTGGGTGAGGGTTGTTTGGTCTTAGCCATAGCATCAGCTGGCAGAAGCTGGCACTGGGGGCTAGTTCTGTCAAGTCAAACCACAGAACTATCTGGAGAGTGGATAATCTGGGAGTGGGAGCGACCTGGGAGGGAAACTGTGGGCTCCTTCCTCTTTCTTTCTTTCTTTCTTTTTTTTTTTTTTTTGATTGCATTGCATTGAGTGACACAGTTTTATAGGCACTGGGATTCCCCCCTCCCCTCCCGAGCTCCTTCCTGTTGGGTTACCACTTCCACGGGAGGGCATAAAACTAGGACAGCCACTGGGGTGGAAAGGAGTGTGGGACAGACTGGATTACTGCTGCACATACTGGCAAACCAGGGTAGGGGTAGGCCTGGTGGGGGTTATTGTGGGTCGCTCCAACTAGGCTGCAGCTCCCACTGGTTTATGCGAGGGCCAAGTATGTGCTGGTCAGAATCAGGCTGGACTGCAACACCCACTGGTTCCAGTGGAAGTCGGGAGTGAAAACAGAACCAACCCAGCAATTGCAACCACCAGCTGATGGGGCGATGGACGGTGCCAGGCCCTGTACTTGCTAGCACATACCAGAATCTGGTTTGAGAACACCTCAGACAAAGTTTCTTTGGGGATCTCCCCAACCGAAATGCTGGACTCAGAACCCTAACCAAGAAAAGAGAGAAGACAGAACAGATCAACCAACCTTCTCAGCTATATCTTGGTAGCGAAATATGGGGCAAACAGAGACTCTATGATGGACTATGTCAACCAGTGGATTTTTCAAAGACCTCACAGTGCTTGGAGTGTCAAGATTGGCAGTGATTCATAACTGTTGCAATATCAAAACCACCTGAGCAAGAACCTCAGAGCATACCCTACATCCAGGACCTGGGGAGGGTGGGAAATTGGGTGGGCCTTCTTCCTTAATACCCCCCCTTTAAACATGAATGAAACTATATGGAAAAAATAAGTGTTACCCACTTTCCTGTAGCCCTTTAACCTTTTTACCCTAATTAACTATGTAAAGATTGTCAACAAAAATTTTTAAAATTAAAAAAAAAATTTTAAATTAAAAAAAAAAAGTGGCTCCCACACAGCTGGTGCCCAGACTGCACACCTGGCACTGAAGAGAGTCACAAAGGTCATGAGGAACGCTGTATGTCGGGGGAAAATACTCTGTGGTAGGCAGAGCACTGGGCTCCCACTGTGCCTACAGCCACACCTACTGTGCCTACAGCCACACCTACTGTGTCTACAGCCACACCTACGGTGTCTACAAAGCATTGGGGTTCCACTGTGCCTACAGCCACCCCAACTATGTCTACAAAGCACTGGGGTCCTACTGTGCCTACAGCCACACCCACTGTGTCTACAGCCACCCCCACTGTGTTTACAAAGCACTGGGGTCCCACCGTGCCTATAGCCATGCCCACTGTGCCTACAGCCATCCCCACTATGTCTACAAAGCACTGGGCTCCCACTCTGCCTACAGCCACACCCACTGTGTCTACAAAACACTGGGGTTCCACCGTGCCTACAGCCACACCCACTGTGTCTACAAAGCACTGGGCTCCCACCATGCCTACAGCCACACCCACTGTGCTTACAGAGCACTGGGTCTCAGACAAGCACTCCTCAGATAGGCACAGGCCTTGTCCTGGAGCCCAGCTGGGACACTCCTGTGATGACTCTGCTCTCTGCCAGCTGTCTCCACATGTGGCCCCCCATTGCAGGCCCACAGGTAGCCCCCCATGCTTGCCACTAGCCTGTAACTGGTGAGGAAGAAGCAGCATGGCCTCCACCTCGGTCACCTAGGCAGCCATGGTTAAAGGTCACAGAGGTGGAAGACAAACGTGAAGCCAGAGACAGAAGAGGAGAAGGAGAGAGGGCAGAAAGAAAGAGGGAGACAGAGAAGGGGAAGGAGAGTGGGGAAGGAGAGAGGGGGGAAAGCAGACAGTAAAAGGGGAGAGAGGGGAGGGACGGGTGGGGAGGACAGAGATGGGCGGAAACGGAGGGGGTGGAGAGAAACCCCTCTCCAGTCCCCAGCTCTTTGATCCCTCAGCAACTTGAGTCATTCCACCTGAGGCCTCAGGTATTCCAGAACAGCACAAGGCTGTCCCTGACTGGCCCTGACCAGACTGCAAACTCAGGAACACAGCGAGTGCTGCTTCAAGCCTGCATGTCCCCAGTGGCTTGGTTTGTTACTCAGTAACAGATAATGGAAATATCATTAACACATCTCTGTGAAAAGAATGTGGCATAGTAGCCAGAAAAAAGAAAGAAAATGCCAGCCCAACAAGCCTCCTGGTAAATGAAGTCCCATAGCACATGCCAGGTACTGTAACAGCAAATGCCAATGCTGCATTGCTTTAAATATGTTACTAAAGTGTAAACTATAACATGTAATAAATGTGAATTAATGCCA